TATTACCATACTATGTATAATCAATCTGTTAATCAATAAGAAAGTTTATTTCAATTTCTATTTTCTTAGAACATGAGATAGTAGTAGCAACTACTAGACCAGAAACTGTTTTTGGAGATGTAGCAATTGCTGTTCATCCAGATGACGAAAGGTATGCAAAATATATTGGGCAACAAGTTTGGCATGCCTTGAGAGAAACATATATTCCTGTTATTTCTGATCCTTTAGTTGATAGAGACTATGGCACAGGTAATTATATTTTACTTATTTTACATTTTTATTAGTCAGAATAGCTCTCACAAAAAAAAATCTTTCAGGTGCCATAAAAGTTACACCAGCACATGATCCTTTAGATTATCAAATTGCAATGAATCATCAATTAGAAATCATTGAAGTTATTGATGACCATGGAAATATAACCGAAACAGGCAAACTATTTAAAGTATAGTTATCTTTTATTTAAATAATTGTATTTTTTTTGGAAGATTTTTTTTAACATATTTTCTTTATTTCCTGCTTCCCTATTTTAGAATTTGCCAAGATTTATTGCTCGAGAAAAAGTTTTAAACGAATTGTCAAATAAAGGTCTTTTAAAAAGTATCAGCGATCATAATATGTACGTGCCATTGTGTTCACGATCCCATGATGTTGTAGAATATTTGCTCAAAGAACAATGGTTTATTAAATGTGAAGGTATGGCTCAAAAAGCAATAGAAGCTGTGAAACAAGGTCATTTAAAAATAATACCTAACACTTGTGAAGATTCGTGGTATAATTATCTTAATAATATCAGGTAAAAAGAAAATATAACAATACGTTTAAAAAATTGATAATATCTACATCTTAATTATAATATTTCTTCTAGAGATTGGTGTATTTCGAGACAAATATGGTGGGGTCATTCTATTCCTGCATATTACGTTACAGTAGAAGGTAAAACTGAATGGATAATTAGTCGAACTGAAGATGATGCAAAAACTTTTATACAGAATAAATATGGACAAGACATACAATTATATAAAGATCAAGATGTATTAGATACTTGGTTTTCTTCTGCAATACTTCCATTTACAGTAATGGGATGGCCAAAAAAGGTATAAAATAATAATTGAAAGTAATAATAATAATAATAATTAAATAATAAATAAAGATTGTATCAGAAAACATATTTTTAGAGTGAAGATTTTGAAAAATATTACCCTTTAACATTAATGGAAACAGGAAGTGATATTCTTTTCTTTTGGGTTGCAAGAATGGTAATGCTAGGATTGGAATTAACTAATTGCATACCCTTTAACGTAAGATCATGAGATTTATTTTTTCTCTTTTTATTTTCTAATACTTATTTAAGAATTGTTATCCAGGAAGTTTTATTACATGGCCTTTTATGTGATACTTATGGAAAAAAAATGTCTAAAACAACCGGAAATATTGTTTCTCCAGAAAATATTATTAATGGTATTACTTTAAATGTAAGTATTAATGTGTGTGTTTCACTCTAAGATGTATTTCATTCATATTAAATATTATAATATAAATAGGACCTTATTGCACAAATGAAAGAAAGTTATAATGCAGGTTTAATTAGCGAATCTGTTCTAAAACGAATGTTAAGTGCAAATAAAAAGCAGTTTCCTAATGGTATACCAGAACATGGTACAGACGCATTACGTATGACATTATGCAGTCACAATATCAAAAGTTAGTACAAATCAATCACTAGAATTTATTTTTATTATTTTAAAATTTTACTTATTTTACATACAGATGTTTTTGTCTAAATAGATCAACATATTAAATTTGATATTATGGAGTTCCAAACAAACAAATTTTTTTTAAATAAAATTTGGCAGGCAAGTAAATATATCCTGCTTATGACAAGTGAACAAGTGTATCAAAAACCTACAAATATGGCAATTATTGATCAATGGATTTTAAGCAGATTATCTCTAATGATAAATGTAGTCAATGATTCATTCTCACAACGAGATTTTCATCAAGTTGTTGCATCAATGAAACAATTCCTATATTATGAATTTTGTGATTATTATTTGGTAAGATCTAAGTCACTAAATTGTCAATAACTATTTAAGTCATTATTGAAAAAATATAATTTTAAATATTTTAAGTATGACCAAGTTTTATAACATGTTGATTATTCTATAAAAATATTAAAAATATTTGAAACATAACTGGAAATCTGATCTTATAGGAAGCTACCAAATGGGGATATAAAGATGAAGACATGAATATACATATAAGTCACACATATAGCTTAAGAAAATGTTTAGAAGCATTTTTACATATATCTGCACCTGTAATTCCATATCTGTCTGACGATTTATACAAAAGATTATCAAACAAATTTCCAGAATTTGTATCAATTCCATCACTAATGGAAGGACAATATCCAGTACCAGAACAGGTAAGATGACATATTGATATAATATGCTTAAAAACAATAAATTTATGTACATTGCAGTTCAATGAATGGAGAGATGTTTCTTTAGATGAAAGAATAAATGAAGTCATAAATATTATATTAAAAATCAGAAGTATTATGGGTAATACCAGTAAAAAATTAAATCCAGAAGGTAATTATTTACAGATTATATGTACATGTGCTAATGTATTAAGAAGTTAACAAAACTTTTTTTTTACAGTTCACATTGTAACAAGTAAATCAGAAGATTTTACTTTTTATAATAATATCATAAATTTAATTAAAGGTGGAAGCAAAATTTTTAATATTTTGATATTCTCAAAAGATAATTATACGGAAAATAAAAATAGTATTTCTTATTCTTATAGTTCTGATTGTACGTTATTTATTATCATAGAGGTAATTTAGAATTTTATATTTATGTTTTATACTTGTGATGATTTATATCATATAATTATTTATTATTATTTTAATAATTGTTATTTCTAGAATTCTTCTATTTTGCAACAATTTGAGAAGAACATCTTGGAAGACAGTTATATAAAAAAATCAAAATCGATCAATTTAAAATAAATTTCATTAGAAAAATATTTTGAAATGAAATTGAATGATTAAAGTCAAATTAAATATAAAAAATAATTTAAATATATTTAAAGCATTTTATTATATAATACAATGAGATCATTAGTTTTTATCAATATCCATCTGTTTGTCTGAAGGATCATCCTCATTTTCATTATCATCTGTATCCTCGCTGTCTGAACTAGAATCACTGGAATCATACCAAGTTTGAGAAGATAAATCATCTTTTAATATTGTATTCCATTCTTCTAGTTTACGACAATCTATAACAATAAATTAAATATAAATAAATTTCTGTTGCATGTATATATAATATTTATGAAATTGATGATTACATAATATAAGTACCCAAACTATAAAAGTCGCTGAATGTATACTGTCTATCTTCATCTTCAAATATACCGCCATATAAATATAAGATATTATGCCTTGCAACTAATCCAGAATTCATTCTTGGACACGGAACAAACACATTTTTATGTACATTTTCTTTCTTATCGGCAGTAAATGTTTGTGTTGGTCCTATTGTAACTGTAAATATTCCATCATCATCAACAACTGTAGATTCAACAGAAGTAGAAGAAAGCATATCCATATCATTTTCAGCTTCAATATCATTTTCTTGTCCACTTTCTTCCTTCAATTTTCTTCTTCGATGTCGTGTAGTTACATCTTTTTTTCCGTTCAGTGTCACTAATAATGAGCAATAATTTATTATAATATTTATTCTATTATTGTATGGAAAATTTTATATTAATTAATATAAATTAATATGTCTACCTATGTGCCATTGAAACTTTTCTAAATCTAAAGCTAATAAATCGTTGTAAAATGTTCCACGAAGTTCCTCTTCTTCTTCTTCATCAAACACTCCACCAAATATGTAAGCCAAATTTGGTTGAATTAAAGTGGCAGATGCACTACATCGTGGTAATACTTTAATTCCTGATTGCTTTACAGACACCCATTTCCATTTTAAGCCAGTCTGATCATTTTCTAAAATAATATTAAATTTAATTATTTATATAAATATAAACTATTTAAACTTTCATGAAAAACATTTTACATAAAGAATTACTTACTTTCAGGAGTCATTAAAAACATATCATTATGAATGCAACCTTTATCAACATCCTTCTTTATTCTTTCTTTACTATAACCACCGTATACAAGAAGTTTATTTTCAGATGTTGGTAACAGTACACATCCAGATCTTGGAAGTGGTGGAGTACCTGTTCACACAAATTATATTAACGTAATAATCTGCTCTAAAACTAAATTTCTTATTTGTTAAGATCTTACCAGATAACTCAATTTTGTGCCATACATATGTTTCAAGATTAAATACATATACATCATTGTAATATTTATAATCTCTTAAATTATCATAAAATCCACCAAATACTATCAATTGTTTTTTTATATGTGCCATTCTATGACCGCTCCTGGCCGATGGTCCACCAGAAGACCTTAACAAGAAATTAAAAAAACTAAGCAATAAAAAAATTTTACTTATATAATACTTAAAAAGTATGATCAACGTACAAAATTTTTTCCCATTTTTTCTCTGCAAATCGATAAACCCATAAATCTCTATAATGATAAAATTGTGACTCTGAAGGGCTTGAAAATTCTCCACCAAATACCCACAGTTCTCCTTTATTTGCAGTTGTAGTCACAGCCTGATGACCACAACGTGGAGGTGGAGCACTAGGTGCTCTAATGATCATCCACTCATTTTTGTTCAAGTTGTATATAAACATATCTCCATAAACAAATGTCTAAAGATAAATAAATTTACTAAATAATTAAAATTAATAGATATTATTATCTATAACATTTTATATAAACAAAATATTAGTTTACCGTTCGTCCATCATGAAACTCTCCACCAAGCATAATAAGTTCATCTTTGAAAGGATGTGCTGTTAAAGTAAAATTTACACGTCTAGATGGTGGTGCCACTATCTTTTCAACAACACGTTGTCTTTTAGCTTCTTCTTTTTCAATTTGAGCAATCACAAGCTCTATATCATCCTAAAATATAAAAAAACGAATCAACATTATTTTTGCCTCAAGAATTATCCACTATAAATTACATTTAAATTTCATTAAGTAAAACTGAGATGTAAGTTTTATTCTTTTACTATGATGACTTACATTATCTATAATATTTAGATTTATTTTATTTTTATAAATGTTTCTCTCTTCTACATTATTTAAATTAAAATTATTTTGTTTAGACTGTTTAGACATTTTTAAGAACTTTATGTGAATATATAATAATTTCTTATGTTTACATATCTTATATTTTCCTAACCTCACCAAGTGCAGCCAATTCCTTTTTCTGCTTTGCATTTAACTTTTTCTCCGTTTTAAGTGCAGTTTTTACACTACCACTTATTTTCTTCTTGCTTTTATCTTTTTTACCCATCTTGTGTAACAAAACCCTTACGAAACGGTGGAATTTAAAATTTGATGAATCCACATAACACCAATGTACTTATCCAATGTGTCCAAAACGGAAATACTATATATATATATATATATGCGTATATAATGTGTATATAAATGCATAGTATAGTGTAGTACGTATATGTATAGTATAATAACTAAAATTTTTTAAATTTTGCATCTAAAAAGAAATTGGTAATCTATTAAAATTTTTTTAAAAATACAAAATATTGTAATTAAATTTATATATTGTAATTAAAATATTGTAATTTAAAATATTGTAATTAAATTTATATTCTCTTACATCTTATATATATATATATACACATATGTGTATATAGTTATTAATTAATAAATAATTAATCTTTTTGTTTCAAAAATTTTATTAGCTATATTTCATGACTTTTATGTATATTTTATAGAATATATAGATACAGTTATTCGATTTTTTATTACTAGCTTTTTATCTTGCATGTATTATTTGAAATACAATTTAAATAAATATGTTCCTTAAGCTTTCGTTTTTGATACGTGGAATTCATAAAGAATGATTCGCAGTTTGTCTCTTTCGTTTGACCTCCAGTTTGCATGTCGGTCGCAAAACACTTGCAGTGAAAACCGCGCTTCATTCTGATCACGAAGCTAAATGTTCTGAAATAAGGTACGTTTCCTCGATTGAAAGTCGATCGCGAAATAGTATTACATCTGCGGCAAACGTCAAAGTTGAAACAATCCTCGATAGGAATTTCTGCTTCCCGAGGAGAAAAAGGTGACATTTTAAAGTCCGTGCGGTTCGAAGAAAAATCCTATCGCTATATTTCCCACAGTGACGCCGTAAGATTGTTATTGCAGTTATTCACGGCATTATTACCGTTTTAATACGTTCATGCAATGTTAGTTGACTCTCTGTCCCGCGAAGCATTACGTTATTTTTTTAGTAGCCACTTCAATGTTGTGATTATTTTCACATCTGATTAATTACATCGTGGTCGAGTAAGGCGAGGTATCGTGGTCGCATCATGTTTTGGGCAAACAATTACGTGTCATCCCCTAATATCGAGGCCCTTCTCAACAAAGAGGTGAGCGAGTCTTTTTTTAGATAAAACGGTTTTCTCTTTGCGATTTAAATTTACACACGTGAAAGAATTTGCCAAAGAATCTAAGTTAGAAATGTTACGTGCATTTCAACTTTTTACTTTGTTGTTCCACTGAGTCCAAATTATGCGTGTTATTTATCTCCCTTGGTATGGCATTAATTCTTCTGTGCAGATTCAGTATTTTTTCACTCACAGAAGTTTCTAAAATATATCAATAATTTCCGAAAAATGTCTCAAAATACTAAATTTCTTACAACAATATGTGTGCGTGATGTCCATTAAAAAGTAACTACTGCTTTTTTAAAAAACCATACTGCGTTTAATATCTGTTGCAAGAGTTACATATTTTCTATCGTGTTGGTGATATTTACACATTTTCTTTTTCTTCTCTATTATTCCAATAATTTATTAAATTATTTCATGTTAAGGTTAAACTATTCCATTTATGCTATTTATAAAAATCTACTTTGTTAAATATAATTCAATAATACTTCTTTTGTACTAATATTAAACAAATTTAATTTAATTTTATCTACAATTTTAGGATGTTACGTTGCATGAATTAATGGACGAAGAAGATATATTACAAGAATGTAAAAGCCAAAATAAAAAACTTATAGATTAGTAAGTAAGATTAAAACATTGTTTTTATAAATATTTCTATAATTATTTATATATATTATTATTTATATGATTATTTATATATATTTATATATGTTATATATATTTATATATATTGTATATATTCATATGTATTATATATATAATGTAATATAACATTGTTTATATAGTCTTACAAGGTCTGATGTGATGGAAGAATTAATAACACTTACGACTAAAGAACCATCAGCAGACATAGAAGAACGTTGGCGCTATAAATATCCAAATGTAGCTTGTGAGCTACTAACTTGTGATGTTCCAGTCTTAAATGAAAAATTAGCAGGTTTGAATGAACTTATGACAATTTAAGTGTTTTGTATAATATAAAGAATATATAACTAAATTTTTGCAGAAAATGTTAATAAAAGTTCATGATATTTTAGGCAACGAAGCATTATTGGCAAAACTTTATTCTTTTATCGATACAGATCAACCATTAAATCCCCTTTTGGCATCATTTTTTAGTAAGACTATTGGAGTACTTATTGGTCACAAAACTCTTCAGGTGATTATAAGTTAATGCAATAAATTTATTAAACTTAAATATAAAAAACTATATAGAAAGTAGTTTTACAATATCATTCTTTGTAATATAAATTAAAGTATAATTACAGTACAATTACAAATATTATAAGTATTAAACGTTAAATTATCTTTCTTTTATTCCTTAATCATAACCTGAACCTTCAAATCCTATATTTCCATCTCTTCCATCAGAACTGGTATTCGTATCAGTTCACTTGTTTGCAGCTTTTAGAGTTTTTGAAAAGTCGTCAGACATGCGTCGATCTGCTTTTACAACATTTAGAAACATCTGCAATTATGGACTTAGTACTAAAACTTGTTAGTCAGGTTGAAGGAAATATGCGGCAGAATATACTAAGTGTAAGAAGCTTGAAATTTTTTTCTTTGACATTATATAGTTAATTTTATATTAAATTTATTTATTGTATTTGATTGTATTATTCTGTTTTAAATTTTATGTATTTATTTTTCATTGATTTAACAGTGGTTGGATAGTCAACAATTAGTACAAAGAGTGATAAAATTATTATCCCCAAATTCTGAACAAACTAAGCATGCAAATGCTGCACAATTACTTTGTGATATGATAACTGCTGCGAGAGAATATCAACGTACATGTACAGCACGCACTGGTCCAGATCCTATTTTAAATACTCTTGAATCGTGAGTATAAATAATGAAAATATGAAGATAATTTAAGATATTTAAACTCTGTTGTTTATTACAGAGCAGATACAGTAAGCCTGTTACTAGAGACTATTTTAACTGGAGAAAAACTAGAAAGTAGTATTCTTGGTGGAATTCAGGTACTTCTTACACTTTTACCAAAACCTAACAAGTAAGGATGTAAATTATTTAAAAAAATTTTAATATCTTGCAAGAAAGTATATGTATTTTATTAACAGGCCTATTTGAAATTTCAGTGGAAGAAATGAGGATAGTGTTCATGGAAATGGTATTGAAGACGAGATCACAGATAGTGAAGAGCGTATAAAGATATCAAATGCAACTTTGCCTTACCTAGAGCAGCTTCACAAACTTCTGCTGGATCCACCTTATGTAAATATTAATTTTACTACATACTCAATTCATACTATGGATTAATTTCATCTAACATTTTTATAAGAACTAAATATTTTTCTATTATATAGATTATTTTATATAGAGTATTTCATTCAGTATAATTCTTCACAATTAAATCTTTATACTACAGAAACCTCCTGTTAAAACAACCACTGGCGTATTAGAATGTCCAGTAGGTATTACGCGTTTACATGTTGCAAAGTTATTCACGACATTAATGGCAACTGAAAATATGAAGGTCTATGAAGCCTTAATAGAATTAGGAACATTCCAAACGTTACTCGTAAGTAAATTTAATAATAATTAGGAATACCTAAATTGATTAATTCAATTTGTAGTAATTAAAAACGATTGAGAGATTTATTTCATTTCTTTTAAGGATTTATTTTTTAAATATTCGTGGAACAATTTTTTACATACTCAAGTACAATTTTGCCTGGCTTTAGCTATTAATTGTGATTTTAAGGATACAAATGATATTATTTATGATAATGTAAGTATCACAATCAATAAAATGAATCAATATTTATATCTGTAGTTATTCTGATTAAACTAATTTTTAGATATTTAACAAATGCAGATTGATAGAGCGAATTTTGGAAGCATGGGATGAAAATGACAGTAAACAGTATGTTAAATAGTAATTAAAATAATATTGTATAAGTTTATATTTTATATTAATATAATAATTTTATTAAAATAATCATTTTTATATTTTAGAAATAAAGAAATGAAAAATAAGCAAGGATACATGGGCCATTTAATAAACGTTGCAAATAATATTGTTAATCAACGTGAAAAAAGCGAAAATTTAGATAAATTTTTAAAGGATAATTTATTACCTGAGTGTCGTAGTAATTGGGATAATTTTGTGAATATTGAACTAACAAAAATTAATAAGATTCATCAAATCCATTTGGTATGAATATAAATCATTAGATAAATATTATTTATTTTTATATTAGTATTAGAATTGTTCGTCATTGTGCAAATTATTTATTCGAATATTTAGGGTGGAAAACCACAAACATCCATGACCAGCTCCAGTGAAAATCCAGATGAATATAGTTCTTATCCCCAAGAAGAATTTCTTCAAGTTCAACGAGTAGAACAAGTTAGTAACATACTTTTATAAAATATTTTTAATATTTTATAAAATAACTGTCATATATAAAAAAAAAAGATACAAATAATATACATAAATACAAATACTTTTTATACATAAAAAGAATAGATTATAAGTTAAGAAAGTTTGTTTTTGAATTGTAATGTGTTATTACTTTTCATGATATTGTACAACATAAATAGTTTTACTCTAATTATCTGGGACAACATATGACACCACAGTTTCCTGAAAACTTTGGATTCCATGACGATCAATTTAACGATGGCGATGACGCTCTTCAGTAAGTAAAATATTTTGTAATATGTTTTGTTAAAATACTTTGTTACTAACTACTTTTTTTATTGTTGTTAATTATATGATTTATATATTATATATTCGTGTATATATCCGTAAAAAAAAATTGGGAAACTGATATTATGAAAAAACAATATAAAGCCATATTTTCGGAATGTATACATATTTAAATACTATTGTAGTAACTCGGTTGGTCAATTAACAACAGTGGCCTTCACTATCAGCGAGGAAGATCTAGATAAAAGAGAGGATATGTTCAATAAGGTATAAGATGCGTTAATAACATTTATTGATAAATATATTAAATTTAAAACTTTTGATGATTTTGTATAGATATGTCAGCAAAAACAAAAAGCAGATTTAGAGGATTGCAACACAGGAGTAGAATGGGGCGATGAAGGAGAACTCACTTTTCAGACAGTAGTAGATAAATGTGATTGGCCAACAAAACAACAACATAATGATTCTAATTCATCCGATGAAGATGATGAAGATCCACGAGATATGCATATGGAAATTGATTCTACAGAGCGTATGGTTTAATTTTCATATTTATTCCTATTTTATTTTCTCATACAAAATAAATTTTCACTTTATTATTAGTTTCAATATAGTTATTAATCTCAATATATATAATAATTCTCAATATTTATTTTTTGTGGTACTATTGCAATAATATTTCTTATCTCAGCTTGGGGTTCGACGGAACCATTGCCAACCAATACTGCAATTCCTGAAGTGAATCCATGGGATGTTGTATCATCGGAACCAGTTGAATCTACTGGTTGGGCAAATTTTGACAACTTTGAAAACGCTCTTAACGTGGAGAATACTGTGATAATAGATAATAAATTGTGTGATGAAGGTAAAAAAGAAACGTCGAACACAACAGAGAACAAAATGGAAACTCCGTTGGGAAGCAAAGTAACCGTGGAAGCCATTGGAGCAGGTGACATGAAAATTGAAGATACAGTTGATAGTACAGCTTCATACATAGAAACAAATATAAATCATCAAAATACCGAGAGTAGTTTGTACTCTGGGTGTACTGCCGATAAAAATGCAAATCCAAGTGAAATTGTAGATAGCAGGTAAATAAAATGCTTTTATATATTCTTATTATACGTAAAAGTGTAATTCCACCAATATGTGTAACATATATTTACGAACTTTAGAGAAATCAAGTGCGAAGGGAACGTAAAGAATGCGGAACTTGCGACTACTACGGTACAAAATGAAAAATCTTCGAGTGATTATACAATTTCGTGTAGTTTAAAAAATGTATCACCGGAAGCTGTATTATCATCGACAGATACCAAATGAAAAATTATTTGTTGAGTATGATATTGCAATAGAACAAAAAAAGTCATATCAAGTATAAATTTGTACGAATGATCAGAATATATATTACGTCCCTATATTTTCATTAGATCATATTAATTGTGCTTCATTGCGTTGGCGCCTGGGTAACAACTCACAGCAGGGTATAAGTATGGATTGAAAAGTAAAAGACTAACCGACGCTCAACTATGAATAGTATATTACTTGATGTACATGTACATGTTCTCGGATCGCCAAAGTTTCAATTATAAATACAACCTCGTGAAATACAATTTTCCAGATTTTCTTAATGGACATAGTTATTAAAAATTTCTTTAGGTTATTATTTGTACGTAATTAATATAAAAATTTAATTCAATAATCACACATTCTTTGTGTCTCGGATTTGGTATAATGTAATAGTTAGCATGATGAGATAGACAAAGTACAATTTGTACAAAATTGATGAATGCCAAGATGAATTTAACTTGGTCGCCTGATACCTGTTCTCACAAAAGTATTACATGCTGATGTGTGTGTATATATATATATATATATAAATGTACATATACACATACATACATATATTGTAATGTTTAAGTGATACTGATACGAGGCTCCTTAAAAAGATAACCGTAAATATTAATGTTTAATAAAAGAAGAAAACTGGTGCTTTTGCTTCTTCGTTCGATAAGGCAAAGGTACTTATGTGCAGTGCCTATTGTTTGATTAAACGTTTGCTCGTGCAACGATGCGATATAAACAAAAAAGAAAATTATGTATTTTTATTACGTTGATGGTAATGTTCATCAAATGTATACACATGTAATGTAGTGAAATATTTCAATAATGAACTTATTTTCATTTGCATTCCAGAGAAGAAAATTTAGTAAAACTTAATTAATAACTATAATATTCTTTTCAAAATGATCTTCCAAAAGAATATAGTATTAAATTTCCAAAAAAAAACTTCGAAGTTTTGAGTACTCTATGCTTTTAATACCTGTTTAATTTTTTGAAACAAAATTTTGTGATCTAAGTTTTCCAATTATCCAAGATGTTTTGTTTGCTTTTAAAATATTTGGTATAATAATGTGTTTATAGTATCGTACATGAAATATTGTACATAAGTAATAAATATAAGCAGTGTTCAGAATTAAATGA